CAAGGAGGTAGGTGCAGGGGTTTCTGAGAAACTGCACCTCCAGGTGCTGACAAGCAAAACATATGACGTGTGTGTTAAGGTGCATGCCTGCTGGGGCCTCTACACGACATGGTAGTGTGCCCCAATGAGGTCTCCTTCTCCCCTACAGCCTCAGTCCGGTCCACCACTTTAAATGACAACAGGTAAGTAAGCAGCACAGTAGCACCAGCAGCATCTCAGGCAGCCAAACTGTGAGAGAGCCTTTCTTTCCTCTCCTGCAGGAGTTTCTTCTCCAGCAGCTGCCAGAGAACTCTGCCTGCCAGCCCCAGCCCTGGGGCTTAGATGTGCCCAGGGCCCTGCATCCTTCTGGTCAGCTGACCAGGGACAGGTGCTAGGCATCTTTTAGTAGACCAACTGAATAGTTAGAGAAATATATATTAGCAAGGTTTTAGCAGCCCCAGGAAATTCCAGGACTGAGGATCTCCCCGGTGAAAGACAGGTAGGAGGTGCCATAACCTCCAGCCACCCCATGTGCATACAGTTCTGGCTGGGAAAAGCCCAGGCCTGTTGCGTGTTTGACAGGCCTGAGGCTTGCTGGTTGCAGTGGAGCTGTGAGGCTCCAAATAAGCTCTGCTTAGCTGCCTGGGATGCCAGCTTTCGGGTTGGAAAACCCTTAGTCAGGCTGAGGAGGCCCCTTCAGTTGTTGTGTGTGCTGTTCCTGGATGGAAGGAATAGTAAAGAAGCCAGAGGCTGGCATGCAATGCAGGCAAGAAAGCAAGTCGGTGTAAATGGAAATGGAGGCGTCGGGGAGTGAAATGAAAAACGCTCAGTTTTTCAGGAACCAATTAAGAGCACTAAGCGGGGGTTGCCTTGTAATTATTTTGATCAATGATCTGTAAAAGAAAGCCAGGAAAGGTTGTAACAGTGAGTAAACCAATAGCTGTTAATGTGCTGTTTCTAGCTGTTAAATGCGTCTGTTCAGGGGTCCCCCCCTTTTTGTCCCCCCTTTCCTCTCTTCCACCTCCCTTCTCTCCTTTCATTTTTAAATACAAAAATGTTTAAGGCATTGTTTCTATTTTATGATGCCAAATCTAGGAAATTCCAATTTAAGGCTGCCATTTTACTGTCAATTTATACTTGTGTCTGTAGCATCTCCTTTTGAACAGGTGCACACGCATCCAATTTTAAATTGGACTGTAAGGACATTAATTCAGATATTTATTTGCTTTACATCATCAGAACTAACATGTTTTCAGGGCCTTGTGCAAATTTAATGTGTGCGTCCTTGCATCATCATCATTATACCAACATCAGGTATGATTTGGTAGCTTCTCTTCCTCTGGGACCTCCTCTGTCCCAATCCTTAGAAATTGTCTATACATGGAGTTATTGAAGGATAGCAGTTTCACACTAGCTCTCTTGTGTAGACAAGCCTTTAACTTGACTGGAGAGGCCTCTGAAGACCCCTTGTAGAACCAGGAAGTCAGAGTGTGGAAGGAAATGCATATATTTTGAAAGGGGAGCATGAAAGAGGGGAGATCACCCTTCTGGTGTGCCACCAAAGTCAGATTGGATTGCAGACTAGAAATTGGGGGTATTTATTACTGTTATTTACTAAAGGAAAAAAAAATCAGTTACGTTAAGTGAATCTGACCATTTATCTTAAATTTTGTAACAAATATTCTTGACATTTGGACCTTGTACTTGGATTTTTTTTAAAAACTTTAGTGATGTTGAACTGTGTATGTGTTTATTTTTCAGATACTAGATGGATTCATTTTCAGTTGTTCTTGAGTTGCTTTGTTGTTTGTCATGGTTGTGAAATGTACTGAAGAGCTGAACATAGACATCTGAAAGAGCAGATGGTAGGGCAGAAGTTGTAAAGTACCTGAGTCTTAGTCATTTCCTCCACATCCCATAGTACCGTATTATCACTTCTAGTGCTTTCACTTCATTTTGGGTCTTGCTCTGTATACACTGATAGCTGAACTGAGACACCCCAAATTTAGGACCAAATGCATTTCTCATCTCCTAAGCATTTATGGAGGGTTAGTGACCTCTCCCCCATTTTAAGTGGATTTCATATCCTCTTTAATATTATATGCTCTTTAATATTAAATATCCTCAAATTTGTAGCTTGAATCTGGGGCCTAGTTTAGAGTTTGTTGGAAAGCCCAGAAATTATTTATACAGACCTCTAAAGTGATTTAAAACACCTGATCTGTTTTCAAGATACAAAAAGCCTTCTCATACTTGTGCTCATAGCTAAGGGAAGAAACACGGTCAGAATTGCATGTAATTTTAATCAGTGGAGGCTTGATGTTAGTGTTATTGAAATGGAAGTTCATAACTTAAAATGTATGAGAAGTGGGAGTGCGACAACAGTGCACTGGTTGTTCATTTGGGCTAGGGACAGACGTTCAAAAAGTCTGAGCCTGAATTGATTCAGTCTTTGTAGGTTAGTCTAATCTGGGTCATCTAAACCAGTCTGTAACTGCACAGGCATCCCAGAAATGCAGGCAAATGCCTGCAGTGGCTCAGGCTAGAAGCTGGGGGGTGCTAGAGCAGCCCTCCCTTTCTTTCCATAGTGCTGAGCTGAGGGGGGTGTGGCCAGGCCTCAGCAGGATGCTCTGATTAGGGGAGGGGTTCCCCCTGCTCCTTCTGACCAGCCCAGCAGGGAACTGATAATACAGTATTTATCACCCCATTAAGAAAACAGAGGGACATTACCAACTACCTGTTGATTCTGCCTTTTTTGTCCCGTCTGCCACTGCATGGACTGTAGTCATCATGTGGTTTGCTAGCTAATGCCAAGAGGTGTCTGTGTAAGGCAGAGGGGATGGGGAGTGGGGCAGCCAGTCAGACGCTTGCAGTCTCGGCCAAGGTCCAGCCAGGGAGCAGAAGGGAGGGGCCAGCACTGCTGTGGAGCAGAGCACCCCGCCCAGCCTAGAGAGCATGCTGGGATGCTGGGGGACTCTGATTTAACTTAAACCAGCAAGCTGTCTGGGACAGACATTACATAACCTGGTTTGACCCAAATCAGTTAAGTGTGATACTACCTTCAACCAGGTTTATCTCAAACTGGTTTCAGCCATTTTCAAACTGACTTATGTGCACTGAACATCTGTTCTGTTGCAGGTTTAAACCAGTTTCTGATCACTGAAACCAGTTTTTGTGTAATGTTTATCCCTAGCCTTGCAGGTAGTAGGTACATCACACACATTAGGTAAGGGAAGTGCCCTTGTGATGGAAGCCAAGGAGCAATGGGTTAGATCCTCACTAAGTGTGCATTGGCATGTGTCCATGCATTGCCTGGCCAAATCTGAATAGGACTGTCATGAAGGTTAAAATGAGTCGAGTAAAAGTGTGATGACACTGTGCACTACTTTCAAATTTCATGTTGATGCTCTCATTCAGGAGTGAAGTGAATATGATATAACATTGTTTGTAGACCTACTGCCTTCACAACTGTAGTTGGCCTGCCTTAACAGCCCTGTATCAAAAAGACCCTTGCCACACTGAAAGGATAGGGAAGGGCAGAATTATAGGGAGTCATTAATGGAAAACCATTAAAAGAGAAGCTATAGGATTCTTATTCAGAAAGGCAGGATGTCAGCTACTCTTAATAGCACTTGAGAGGCCCTTACTGCAGAAATCTCTCTAGAGGTGGGCAATTTTCTCAGCTCTAATTTGATTTCAGAGTTGTACACACAGCTGCCTCCTTCCCCACTTTTCATATGTAATTGAATTAGCAGAGAATTGGGAACAAAATGTTATCAAAGATTTTTCTATTTAAAAATGAAAAATAAGGCATTTATTTTTCTCCTTCTCTTCTGCTTTGTGGTATGCTTTGGTTTTTTTTTCTTAAGTTGTATTGAGTGTCTGAATGTATATATAAATGCTAGTGTCTGTAGTTTCCCAAACTAACTTTTTAATGTTTTCCTAGGGATACAGGTTGTAGCTGCATTGGTCTACAGGCAAAAGGAATCAGAACTCATGGTAGAAGTGATATCTCTTATTAGACCAACTAGATATTTGCAAAAAAAAATACTACTTTATTTGCAAGTTTTGGGCACGCTCACCCTTTTTCAGGTGTAGGAGAATGCATACATTTTAAAATTTCTTCTAGGTGGAAATGTAAGTTCATATTTCATAGGAGAGCTGAAGGTGTAAAATCTCCTGGTCGGAAAAATTCATTTTGTTCAAATTAGGCTTATATAAAAGAGCAGTCTAAATAAATAGGCTAAGTAATAAGGAATAGTCTAAATAGGTAAATAGACTTCTCTAACTGCTCAGCTCTCCTGTGAAATATACATTTTCATTTCCACCTGGGAGACATTTTACAATCTTTGCATTGTAATATATATATATATATATATATATATATATATATATATATATATATTTTTGTAAATTTTTTTTTTGCAAATATCTAATTTGTCTAGTAAAAGATACCACCCCTGCCATAAGTTCTGATTCCTATATTTTCCTATGCTTTTCCTTATAAAACCTTTAGTGTTCCCAAGGTATTTTCCTTCCTGTTGTTTTACTACGTGTTCTAGTTTCCTCTTGTTTTTCAGACTCATTCACATTCATTTCTAATTCCATTTTGACCTCTTGCCGTTTTACCCTACTGCATATTTTGCGCTCTCACCCTGGCTTTTGAACCAAGAACCACAGTGCTGTTCTTGCTTATGTTTGAATTTCTTTACGTGGATGCTGAAAGTAGTGGGAAATTGGGTAGGGTAACAAATAATAAATCTACATGTTGGTGTTTAAACAGCTAATGGATAAATGAGGCTTTTAGGCAGTAACACCATTGGTTGAGGTGGCATTTTTTGAGTTTTACATGAGCAATGTTGATTTGTTCCAGCTAACTTTTTCAAAATGTGGTAACTTTTAAGTGTGTATGTGCTTGAGAGAAGGAGAGGAAGAAAGACTGCTCCTTAATTCTGAATTTTTTTCCCAAAAAGGCTTTGTTGTTATGTAATTGCCATTGTTCTTTTGAATGTTTTCCCTAGCACCCTCCTGGGCAACTAAAAAGGAAGTACAGTTCTTGCTCCACTATTTTCCTGGATGACAGCACGGTCAGTCAACCAAACCTCAAGTATACAATTAAATGGTGGGTGTTTTAAATTTTTTTGACTTAAATGCATCTTTTAATATTTCCAAAAAGTTGCTTAGTGTGCAGTGCAAATACCAGTCTTCAAAGGAGTGTGGGATTTTGTGCAAAGCCATAGGTGGGTGAATTTCAGAAATAATGGTGAGGGAGAAGTTTTCAAAAGTTTAACTTTGATATTTACCACCCCATAACCCAATTGCCTATGTCCTCCAAGATGCAAGTGACCAAGGATTTCTAAAGTAGCCATGATGGGTGATCCAACGTCAGTGTGCTGGCTTATTTGAATGAGCTTTCAATTGCTCAGTTACGTAATAGCTCATCCAGTGCTTATTTGGTTTGTTGGAGACACCTCAGTTTTCAACATTGCGTAAGGATATGGTCATTTCCTGCTGTGGAAATGAGGTTGAGATTTTGAAGTATTGTACTTGATGACCCTATACAGTGAGGGGGGAAAAACATTTAAATGTTCAGGCATTCTGCATTGTTTGTTTGTGAAGGTTATTACATCCTCTTCACTTGTTTGTAGAGTGATTTACCTCAGTACATTCAAACGTAAAAGTTTAATTCAAGGCATGTGCTACAAAAGGTATTTACACAACAGACTAATACGTCCGAAGTAGTAATTACTGCTGATGGGCACTAAAACATGTTTTAAATTTCTATAGAAGGGGATTGGCATACAAGTTAATAAATAACATCTTAGCTTTTTCTTCTCTATTATTACTGCCTAACATTTCCCCTGTTGTTAAATTTTTAATTCAAAACAGCATGCAAAGGATCTCAGGATAAGAGGCCAGCATGTGGGTTACTCCCTAAACATTATGTTAGGATAGATCCTTAGTTTCTTTTTCTAGTTGTCTTTGTAACATGCTGGTGATGCCAGGGAGGTTTTAAAGCTATTTTCTAGCATCAGCTTAAGGAGATCCTCCACTGGCGTAGGATGTTTCTGCTTGGGCAGAGGGTGTTCTTGGAGGCAGAGGGAGAGGGGAATGAGGAAGAAGCATTGGTGTGCAGGGCCAGCGCATTATGCGTTCTGTACATTCTGGTAGCCCTAGCTGAACAGCTGATTTCTTTTAGTGTCATATTTATAGCCACTGCAAATAGGAGAAGTTCTTATGGTGCTTTGATCTGAATCGGGTTGGTTTTGTTCCTAATAAACCTCAGGATCAGAGGTCCAGAAAAGTGCTGGAAAGCTTTCCCCAACCCTGTGTACCATGGATGCACAGAATGCGGGTCTAAACAATATGTTGTCAATAAACACAATAAAAAAAGTAAATAAAAATCTTCAGGGATCTGAACGAATCCACTAATGGTTGGAAACTGGGGATTAGCACTCGGACTGCTCCAAAGGTTTCCCAGCAGTAAGCATTTTTTCTAATCTTTGATGTGATCTTTTGGTACAAAGCCAGAGCTGTGCTTTCAGATGGCCACGTGCCACTGCTGAATCAGCTGGAGTTGCACATATGTTCCTGAAGGCCATTTTTTTTTTAGTATTAACCTATGGCTCCCTGTTTTAAGGGTTTGGGTTTTTTTTGCACTGAAGTTGTTATTGTTAGTGGTGAAATGTGTTCAGCAAAGGAGATAAATCTCCTCTGCATCCATTTGTAAATTTTGCTTTTTTAAATAAAACTGCAACTTATAGTTAAGCAGTGAAATGTAAGAACTTCTAATGTACCCAGTAGTATAATGGCTAAAAAGCTATGTTGCTAGTACAAAGTACAACTCGTAAAACATGGCATTTACCTTCCTCTGAGGGGGTGGGGGGAAGTAATTGCATGTTTTTTCTTTTTTTTTAAAGAAAGAAAGAAAAACCTAAAAGAATTTAAAAGTCCACTAAGAGAAACATACAGTATATCTGCAGCATGCTGTTTTTCCAAAATTGGGTGCATCAGAGACAGGACAGCTTTCTTGTAAAAGTTCTGAAGGAAAATTGTTGAACAAACAATTAACTCATGCCTTTTTTATGTAAAATGCATTAAAAGGAAATCATACCTCAACACAGGACTGGCATCTAACAGTGAAATGATGATGGAATACGTTGTCAGCAAACAGGGACAGTGACTTTCCTTTTCCCTTTTTAATCCACCCTTTTACTTTTAGCTTCTGCTCAACGTGTTGGAACGAGTGGTGGTTTTGCTTTGTCTTTTGGTGTTTAACTCCTGCAGCTGGAGAGATGTTTAAAGAGTCAGGAATTAAAAACTGGAGAATAATCCCAGGAAGCCATGTTGTTTCTTTCACTGTCCTCAGTTTTGAGTTAGATTAGTTTGTATTTTCAGGCAACTGAAATATGTTCCATTGATACTTTACAAGCATAATATAATGATATCAGGGGAGTCTTCTCCCTTAAGATAAAATAAGTAACTTTTATAAACTGATACCATAATTTTTTTTTAAAAAGGTAATTAAATGGGGAGATATCTGAAAGGTAATGAAATTGGGAGAAAAATTAAAAGCCACTGCACGTAAAATAATTCAAGTTACCTTAGCAAAACCACTGATTTCCTAATATAGTCATGGATTGTAAGTCCCTGAACAAATTTTATTGACTTGCGTTTTGTCCACCAGAGAGTATTCATTCCATCTAAACCCTTACCCTTCACCTCGAAAAGCACCAGTAGTTTTGCCATTAACTTTAATGGGAGTAGGCCTTTAAGAAGAAAGTAGTGTTAGGTATGTAGGGTGAGGGAGGAGGGGCAAGACCAAATGAATGGCAGGGTATGCAACCTATCACTGACATACAAGGCTGTTTACAGACATTAAACATCTCCCCCCCTTCTCCCCCCCCCCCCCCTCCCCCCCCCCCCCCAACCCAAAAAACCAAACCAACCCCACAACAAACTTTGCTTTACTTTTAAACTCAGTGCATTTTCAAGCCCAGAAGAGACATCGCATTGGTTGAACCTGGCTCACCCAACATCTGTATAGATTGGGTGCTTCAGCGGGGCTTTTTTGGCTTTGTTTGATTGAATCAGCTTTAGATAAAAGCACCAAAATACCCTGCCGAAGCACCCAATCTATACAGACGCTATGGAGCCAGGTCGAACGAACATGCTGCTGCTGCTTCCGGTATAATGTGTTGTTTGTTTTGTTTTGTTTTTTAATGTCTATAAGAAGGCCAAATGTTCCATCAGGAAATTTGGTGAAAAGTAGTCACTTTTGAGTGTGCTGAACAAAATATTCCTGAATTAATTTTTACAGTTTTTTAATCTATTTCAAATCATGGACAGAAAAATCTGTTAATTATCATACTAGTTGTCAAATTTTGTGCTAAGTTTTAATTATGTATAGTAACTTAGTATTGTTTACCAATATATGATCTGAACATCAGTTCCAAGATATTAATTCTATATTTTGTTTTACAGTGTAGCTCTTGCAATATATTACCACATCAAAAACAGGTAGGTAAATAATCAAGTCTCCTATTGAAGATACCTTTTAAAACAAATCAGGAGTGTTTTTTTTATTATTTTTTCTATGTAGCTGGTACCCTTACTTCCTGTGTTACAAATATTACTCTAAAAATTATTTTGTTTATGGGAATAACATTTTGAAGACTTTTAAAAAAAAATATATAATTATGAAATCTTTATGTATGATTCACATTTATTGTTGTAGAAAACTCTGTGTTTTTTTACTATTTAATGTCTGCTGCATACATTATCATCATTAATGAATAAAAAGTGTAAGTTCTAATGACAACATTTATGTAACGCTAAACTGTCTTTTTGTGGTGCTTTTTTTATTGTCTTTTTGTAAAGTGAGCTGTAAACTGTCGGATCAGTGTATTAGAATAGTATCAGTAGTGATAGATTATTAAATAAAAACTTTGTGCGTTGCACTATGGAAATGGCATTAAATAAGTTTTGATGTAGAAACCTCAGGATCCAAAAAACAAGAACACGTGCCAGATACGGGTTTTTTTGTTTTTTGTTTTTTAAGTCTCTGCCCAAGTGAGAGGAATGAAAATTTGAGGTTGAAGACCTAACAGTATCTCACATGGTTAAACAGGTTTTTTTTTTAAATGGATTAATTTTTCAATTCCATTTTTGATGGGGCACCTTAAATCTGAGAGAGTAATTTATTTATTTTTGAAAGTGGTAATCTTGGAATAATGCTATTGCCATTTTTGTCCAGAAAATGAGGGGCAAGGAATGTCTTGGGTGATCACACCTTTTATTGGATTGAGATAGACAAGCTTTCGAGTGCATTTTAGAAAGGTGCTTTCTGTTGTTTCTGATGATGGTTTTTCTATGTCTTTTCAGTAAGAGAAATTGACTTTTCTATATGGATCAATGTACATTTCAGCTGCGTTAAAAGGTGTGGGAGAGTTGCTCCTCAGGAGCATGCTGTATCTGTTACATCTGCACGATCCAGTTACTGGTGTAGACAGGGAGTTTTTGTTAATAGAGAGTTAAGTTGGTTCGGTTTTTGATGCTAAAGATTCTGATTTGAAATCTCTGGGTTTATCTTATGCATCATATGTGAGTATTTATATACTTGGTACTAATAACATCCTGTGGCCCTCTTGGAAGGATTTCCTGGAACCTCAGGGTGCTACAAGATTCTGTTTAGAATCACTGGTTTCCACGTGGGACTTTACATGCTTAAATTTAAGTATATACATAGCACTGCACAAGGATCCCCGAGTGTTAAAGATGGTGGAACACAACTGGTTAAAACTTTGCTAACTTTCTTCTGACTATGGTAATGTGCCCCTATTCAATCACACAGAATTCAGTTCAAGTGTTGCTTATAACTCCAGTAGGTGTAGAAGTTAAGTATGTGTAAACATGTTTTTTAGACTGCTCCCAGCGCTGTCTTCAGAATGGGAGCAGGGAAGGGAGCAGAGGGAGTTCCACCAGGCCAAGGGAGGGTGGTGCAGGTGGATTGGAGTCTGTGCTGGTGGGTGGGACAGGTGGGTAGGAGCCCCTCTGAGGTGGGGGGGACTCCTGTCCACCTGCCCCACCCACCAGTGCCAGCTGGGGAAACCCCAGAACAAGCTCCCTCTGCTCCCTTTCCCCCACCCTGTTCTGAAAACAGCACGGGGGCAGGGAGGAGGGGGAGGTGTGGCTAGGGGAGAATGGTTGCAGACTTCCTGCAAAGCACTGAGAGTTACAGCTTGGACCTGCACTTCTGTTTGCACCCTTAGTGTCACAGGCATATAATGAAACTCATGCATGTAACATTACCACTTGGTTGGGGTTAGTTGAACAAATGGAAATGGATGCTAGGTATCTCTTGTAATTAAAAAAAACCCCAAACTAAAAAAAGTCTTCTGTCCTCATTTTGATTTTTGTATCTGAATGATGCCATGTTAGTTACCTGTGAACCATGCAGGTTTCCCTTTTCTTGGGAAGCCAGGCTTACCTTTTCCATTTTCTAGCTTAAAGGAGACTTGACCCAGACAGAATCACTGTAAATGCTCTTCTCTATTTGCCCACCGATGCCCAGTGTGTTGTGGATGCGCCCTCTGGTGCTTTCTGCAGAATAGCACCAGGTGTGAAACTAGAAATCTCCTGCACATTTTCTTTAAGTATGCATGGGAAATGACTGAGTTTCTGCCTTGTGTTGTCTGCAGCTCAGGAATGTAGGGACGATTTGATAACAGCACGCACTGGTTCATGCTACAGTAAGAGTAATAGTAAAGCATAAGTTCAGTTTCTTACCATCAGTACCATGGAAAATAAAGGTGTAGTACTTGTTTTGGTACTTCTCCCACAAAAGATGGCAGGAGTGTATGACTTCACTGGGACTTGAAACCAACCCCTGGTTAAGGAGTACTTCATTCATTCTTTTTTTTTCCCAGTACACTGAACTGTCTCTTTACTAGGTTACTTGCTAATATGGAGGGTGGTACTATTCTAACATCTTAACACCACCAAAATAATCAGGTCCAGCAAGGTTTTCAAGAGAATTTATCAATAAATTATGCCCTTCCTCATTACATTGCTTCATATTAATTGGACTGTGCTGCTGGCTGTAACTGTTTTAATCCTCATCTCCTCCCCCTCCCCCCTTTCTACTCCTTTTCTGTTGTGTTTGTTTAACTGCTGGCATCGTTTCTCGTATTTAGTTGTTAAACTGTAACGGTCAAGACTTATGTCTGCCTTGCTGCTGCAGACCCGGCCTGCTTTTGGACGCCCATGGCCAAAAGAGCAAGGATGCAGCCAAATAAAGATTGAATTGTAATCAAAGAGTTATATGAACTATTGCAAAATTTCTGTCCATAAAATGTCTGGTTTTAACCAGTGCTGTTAGACAACTTTTATAATCATGAGTATACATTCCAAAGTTATATAAAGCAAGTTATTAATGTAAATCAAATATGGTTAATGTGTTTGAAGTTGCATCAGCTGTGTTGTTCTTGAAAAGGATGGACTCTTTGTTTTAGTACAAAAATGAAACCTGTATATAGGAAAATGAGGTATCTGATTTACTGGATGTGTTCCTTATCAAAACTAAAAATTGGGAATACTGGGTTCACACCTGAGTATCTTGTTACTAAAAAGCTATTCAGAGAACAGCAGAAATAGTTACCATATTTGCTTGAATGGAAGATGACCCTGTTTGAGATGACCCCCAACAATTAGATTCTATATATGCAAAACTTGTAAATTTGATATAATTTTCTTGATATAGAATATAATAATTGGAGGGTTGCATTGAATTTGTCACCCTCCCACTACTATAGCAGGGAAAATAAATGTGTTTTGGGGAGGTGTCAGGTAGCATCTTTGCTTTCTGCTTCCTCCCAA